AACATTCCCTCTTCTTCTAATTTCTTTACACTCTTGACAGATTCATGGTGAAGTCTGTCTGAATAACGGGATCTACCAACTTACTTGGCTTCCAGCTTCCGCATCCTGTGAAACAGCTAGTGCGGTGCTAGGCGATGGCATCTGCATGGGAATCTCTAGAGCACATGTCCTCTTCTCCCTGCCCTTCAGCTGTATCTTCGTTGTATAATACAGGGTCTGTGTAGGGCTTTGTTTCATCCTCGGTCTTATGAATAAAAGCATTACAAAAGGGAGCTCTGGCAAAGCCCCAGCAAACTCTGAGATCCTTCTGTATTGTGAACATTACAGTGTTTTGCAGACAAGCTGTAGGATAGCCAGGCTTTCAAAGGAGAAGATTCTTTTTCTTTCTATGAGTAGAGGGGAAAAAAGGTCCAGCTCTTGCTAGGAAAACATCAAGATGGTGCTGGGATCTGAACTGGAGTATGGTCCTGAACACTAATCAGGGAATGCACTGGAAACTTCTCAGTATTTGGACATAGACCTTCATGTCTATTTAGCAAGATTCAGGTCTGGGTTTCACCTGGAGTATGAGCTGGAAATTAATGGGATTCCTACTAAAATATGCTTCTTTTTTCCTTTCAGATACAATGATGACGCTGAGGGTTCAGATCCTCTTTGGCTTTCTTTGCTGCACGATTTTTCTGCGTACGGATGGCTTCCCAGCAGACACCAGTACTGAATTTCGCTCTGCTTTCTCTGTGGCCAGAACCAGCAGCATGGAAGGGAGCTCTGAGATGGTCATTACCTTTGACAAAGTGTATGTGAACATTGGCAACGACTTTGATCCCAAGACTGGATTGTTCCGCTGTCGGATCCCTGGAGCCTACTACTTCTCCTTCACCGTTGGGAAATACCCAAAGAAAAACCTGTCTGTCATGCTGATGAGAAACAAGAACGAGGTGCAAGTGATTGTGTATGATGAACATCACCGCAAGGAACGGAAGGTAGCCAGCCAGAGTGCCATGCTGCAGCTTGACTACGGTGACACGGTTTGGCTGCGTTTACATGGAGACCCCAAGTATGCTCTTTACAGCAACGTGGGCCCATATACAACTTTCAATGGCTACCTAATCTATCCAGACACTTCCGCCTTCTTCCAGAATGCTCTTAGCTCTCAAGAGCTGGGGCCACACCATCACACCATTGAGCAGCTTCCCAGAGAGCAGAACGAAGCTTCCCAGCGACACGTGTTATCAGATCAGCCGAACAGGGATCAAGACCCTCGCTCTGCGTTTTCTGTTGCCCGCTCACAGAGTCTCCTGGGGACAGATGACAAGCAAACCCAGCACGAGCCAATCACCTTTGACACGGAGTTTGTGAACATTGGAAAAGATTTCAATTCCTCCACGGGCATCTTCTCATGCCGTATACCTGGTGCGTACTATTTCTCCTTCACCATTGGCAAAATGCCCTTTAAGACGATGTCAGTGAAACTCATGAAGAACCACAATGAGGTGCAGGCCATGATCTATGATGACAACCACTCCAAGAGGCGGGAGATGCAGAGCCAGAGCATCATGCTGCCTCTGCAATATGGGGACACCGTTTGGCTCTACAGCCATCAGCACGATGGTTATGGTGCCTACAGCAACCATGGCAAGTACATCACCTTCACAGGCTTCCTGATCTATTCAGAGGCCCAGCCAAAGCGGCTTCCAGGTGCCAGCTCACCCCAAGGGTCAAATAATTAAATGCAAAAGTGAAAGGAGCATAAGAAAAGCCAAGGTGCCATGAACTTGGGTACAGCTCCTCTTTGAATATCGTCCTCTACTTTGAGCATGCTATCATGTGTCCGCTGCTTTAATTATGCTGCACGCTTGTGCCCTGTCTGTAGGGCCACCGCTGTGTCTGCCGTTCATCCGTAGAAAGGTCTTTACAGGTTGTATGTGTGTGTCCTGTGTTGGTGTTTGATTTAAGCATAAAGCATGAGGTAGTTTTGGGGCAGGGGTGGGACAGTGTAGTCAGATGCTGAGGATCAGAGAACCGCTGCAGTAATGTTACTGCAGATCCCCAGCATCCAGAAAGCGAAGGATGTGGTGACTTTCCTTGCAGATCTGGGGAGGGAATAAATGTAATGAAAATTAATGTAATAAAATACAAAAGATGTAAAATTTTCCCAGACTGGAATATGTTATTACTTGTGAGACTCGTGTGCTTGTCGCTGACTGAGGTACCGTCTTCAGGAGAGAAAGAAGCCTGGTGGTTGTATGAGCTGCAGGACGTGTTAGTGAGCCAGTCTGTCTGTGTACACTCTTTTTTATCATTTGTAATCTGATGTTGATGAAGTTAAGAAGCTGTGTTTGAGAATCTCAACTTCCATGTAATGAAAATAATACACTTAGAAACAAGCAGAAAAGTAGGCTTCTAGCCCTTGTAGTAAAGGATGAGGGCTCAAATCTACAAACGAACCATCCTCTGAGAGCTCAGAAGCAAGGTAAGTAAGAAGAAAAAAAAATGTGTTTTTAAATCTCTTAATGTTTGAGTCAGGAGCAGGCTCATAACATGTAAGTGTGGGTGGTATGATGCCACACAATGGCAGTGTTGACTGCAGCGGCGTTGCATTCTCCAGACATGAGCTCCTTGAAGACAAGGGTATGGCTAACCTCCCATACGCTGTATCGGTAACCTAGTGCGAACGGGATCAAAGGTACCATTAAGTGATATTTTCAGCATGTGTGTTCTGGTGGTTTCTTCCCCACTGTGTTTCACCGGGTTGTAGCACTGCTGTAGAGGACTGATGTGGCTGTGGAGGGCACGGGTGTGTTCCTGCAGGGCACTCAGGACTGACTGTGGGATCCACCGAAGGGGGTAGTAGGAAGGCAGGAGGCTTCATCGTAGTGCGATTGGTGCCATTGCAGTTGAGCTAAACCCTGGTTTCTCTCCTAAAATATATAAACTGCAAAAGTGCATCACGTTGAGCATGCATGAAACTTTGTGACTTGGCTTGAGTTTAATTTATAGTCTGCTCAACAGATAGCAATGCTCTTAAACTGATCCTAACAAAATCATAGAACCATAGAATGGTTTGGTTGGAAGGGCCCTTACAACCCACCGGTTGGAAGGGACCTTAAAGACCATCTCGTTCCCCCCCCCCCGCCATGGGCAGGGACACCTCCCACCAGACCAGGTTGCTCACAGCCCCATCCAACCTGGCCTTGAACACTTCCAGGGATGGGGCATCCACAGCTTCTCTGGGCAGCCTGTGCCACTGCCTCACCACCCTCACGGTGAAGAATTTCTTCCTCATCTCTCATCTAAATCTTCCCTCTTCCAGTTTGCGTCTGAGTCACCAAGCCAGCCCCCTCAGCCTTTATCCAGACATTCCTGTAGCTCAGATGGTATTTTCTCCAGCAAGATGATATTTTCCTGCACTAGTGCCGTGCCAGCTCAGCTTTTTGCTGATACTCCCTGCTCAAACTGGGCTTCTCTGCAGCCACCCCCTGCCTCTGTCACTCCATACATATCCTAGACATCGAAGACTGGGGGAGTATTTGGGGAAAGGATGAAGGGTAGAGATTGGGGGTGTGTAAAAAAGCAGCATAAGAACTGAAGAAGATTAAGTGGGACACTAGTTTACTAGAAGTTATACTTGAAATAAAATGCTAATCTTAATTCCTACATCCTTTGGGGAGAAAAACAAAACAAGAAACCAAACAAAAAAAAAAGCAAGAAACAACCTGCTTTATGAATTGTGTAAATTTGTCTTCTCTTGTCATAGCTCTAACCTGACCTCTAAAACCATTCTCTGTGGCATCTTGCTTCCAGGCTTCTTATTCCTGCCTCACCATTTCTCCTCTCCATCTGTTGGGCAACAACAGCTTGGAAAAAGCTTTACTAGGTCAGAAGCTAGCAGTTCTCACTGTGAATGTCACACATGCCTCCTTTGTTGAGCGTGGAAAATTAAGAATATATTGATAGAAAGGGAATTATGGATCCCACCATCTAAGCACATGCAATGGATGTTCAAAATTAATGTATCTAATAATGGCAATGGGAAAACTAGTAGAAATGGAAAAAAAAAAAAAAAAATCAAAACCCTCCTGAGTAGATAATTACATTTCTTTAATTCCACACTGCAACTTGTAAGACAGAGAGAGGTTAATGTTGTCTTTCTATAAAGTAATCGTATTCCTGATTTTGAGGATAGAGATTGTATATTTATTATGTTTGGCTTGTAAAGTGCTATAGCTGTACAGAAAAACTTCATAGAAGAGGTACAAAAAATCCGCTGAAGAAATAACTAGGTCACAATCCTTAGGAATTTAAATGAGACTTAAGGAAGTATACTCCAAACTGATAACTGACACAAAGCCGTGTACATGTGTAAATAAGGTATGCAAATACTGGAAAGCTTCCTGGAATACATACATTTTCAGGTTGGTTTTTAAAGAAAAATGAATACAGGAGATGGGAGATTACTATGGACATGTAAAATGTGATGCCACGTGAGCAGAAAGCTGAAATTAAATATGTGACCTATATCATGAAACACAACAAAATCTGCTTAGCTGGAGAGGAGAAAAGATGCTGTATTTGGCTGAAACTGCAGGGGGAACGGAAGCAGGCTGAACTCAATTATTATCTGAAAAGAAGTCAGCTAGGACACCAGTGTCACATTCTGCAAAAAAAACCTGCCAGGGCATCTCCTCAGTAAGCATCAGTGATGAAGATAAATAACACATCTAAATAGCACTGCCTTCTTCAGCACAGCCCACTTAGAAAAAAAAAAAAAAAAAGAAAGGAAAAAAAAACCACACAGGAAAGGGTGAAGTGCACTTTATAGTTTTGTCCTATTTCATTTAAAAGTAAAAGCTTGTGTATAAATCCTTAGAGGGTTGCCAGCGCAATGCAAAAAGAAAGGTGTGGCATGTTTGTATAAAGTCCTGAATAATGTGGAGAGTGTTCAAAATAACCAAGGACGCAGCTGAAGTCAGGTGTGTCCTTTCCTATGGTCCTGTCCCTTATTCAGTGTCTCTCTTGGTCCTGGCCAGGTTAGAACGATAGAAATGTTTCAGGGATGCTAAATGTGACGGCTTCTCCTTCCAGGGCCAGGAAGCCAGGAGAAGGGTGGTATTTGCAGGGCAGAGCCCCTTGCACAGGTCACGAAAGATTTCATCGACCAGCTGAGAGAAAAAACGAATCCAGAGATTTTTATCTAGACCCTGTGTGGAGCGAACCTGATAGGCACAGTAAACACCGGTGAAAAGGAGACGGTCAAACTCTGTTAGAGGCAAGGGGGTATCGGTCAGTGAATAATATCTCAGATGCTGCTCGATCTCTATCGGTGTTTTGGGAACTTCAACCTCTAAAACCTGCATGAACCACCGCACGGGACGCAGGGAGGTCAGCTCTTCGTCCCGCAGCCGGATTGTCCTGTTGGCCTGAATATCCAGCCCTGCCCAGAGCATCTGGAAGAGAAGAGCAGTATGTGCACGGGAAGCCCCACACAAACCCTCCGCCAGCTAGAACCGAGCTATAAAGCCATCTGCAACCCTGCCAAATCTCGGGCCGGACCGAGAGGCGGCCACTCCCTGACTCGCTGCCCACGGCCCGCCTCGTCCCACTCCGTATGCTTCTCCACCAGCCCCACACCCCTTTTCAGACCAGCCCCACACCTCCATTTCCCCACAGGACCCATCCAGCTCTCACCTCCCACCCTGCTTCTCCCACCGCAGTCCCTCCCCCGGCACGGCCGCCTCGGCTGGAGGGGTCACCTAACCCAGTGGGGATGGTCCCTTATCCCACCCCGGAGCCATGAGGTACCATGGAGGGGGTCAGAGCCCCCTTCATCTGCACCCCGCAATGAGAGGGAGCACAAACGTTAATTCAGGGCATCGCTAAGGTGTTTTCCAGGCACTCCCGGAATTCCGGCAGGGATAAGAACAAGCAGAACGTGTGAGTTTTTACGTGCAGGCAGGTGGGAGTGCGGGCGCTAACAGTGCCTTGGCCCACAGATGAGGTACCATGGAGGGGGTCAGAGCCCCCTTCATCTGCACCCCGCAATGAGAGGGAGCACAAACGTTAATTCAGGGCATCGCTAAGGTGTTTTCCAGGCACTCCCGGAATTCCGGCAGGGATAAGAACAAGCAGAACGTGTGAGTTTTTACGTGCAGGCAGGTGGGAGTGCGGGCGCTAACAGTGCCTTGGCCCACAGGCCCCCAACGCCCAGGAGACCTCTAACATGACGTCGGCGTCCTCTGGGCCGCGACGGGGTGTGTTGGCACCGGCACCGTCCCTGCTGCGAGGATGTTCATCTGGAAGACATCAGGCAGAGTTTGGTAGCACAAGATCATGACCCCTCCTGTTTATTTTTTGTCATTTGGTTGTCAGTAATGTCTTCAATATTTCTGAGCTGCCACTCGTAGCTTGCCAAACACGACACAAGCTGACCACAGGATTTTGATGAGCAAAATAAGCTTTTTAAGAGAAACAGAAGTCCTTAAGGAAAGCAAGTGTAAGTTTTGGGTATGACGGCCCTTAATTCTGCCAACAGAGCTAAAGCGTACGGCAGCAAAGGCACTTGCTTTGACAGGCAGCGAGGAAGCCCCTCACGTCGAGTACGAGTGGGTTTTGAACTGATGGGTTTTGGTTGCCTGGCAGTTTTGGCTGGAGAAAGTAATGCTGCCCAACAGAAGGAGGGTGCTGGGAGGCTCAAACATAACCTGATGCTTGTCCGGGTTTTATACTGCTTCCCCGAGCATCTGCCACCGGCAGGGGCAGAGCGTGAGGGTAAAAGAAACCCAGTCAGATCCATTATGGTTCTTCTCACGTCCAGCTAATTCCTTGCTGGGCCACTCGACATCATTTAAACTGGGAAAAATGGATGTGAGGGCAAAGGAATGGGAGTTTATTAATATGAGTCACATCAGTCCTAAGAATTCTTCCATTTTCATTTACTAATACTTCTAATGCTTTAACTTTCTGCATTTATTTTGCCTTTGCTAATACTTCTAGCGCTTTAACTTTCTGCATTTATTTTGCCTTTAATGTTTCCTCTGTGAAAAGGAGACACCAGCAGCCTCAGTCCAGGACTGTGAGAGGGGGGCTGCGTCCCCTCCCTCCCCTGCGCTGATCGGCGTAGTCGTGTGGCCAAGACTCTCTTCTACTTCTTACAGACTCATCCCTCAGGTCAAGAAACATGAAATGGAAAAAGCTCGTATAAAAGAGTAAGCTCTCTGACACACTCCCTCACATCCACTTTTATATGGATGAAGGCTTTTTTTATATACAAAAGGAGGAGAATTTATGTTGAGTACTCCAGAGTTAAAGTCAGCAGGTGCTTACAAATAGTAGAGGGATGATTTAATACCGTATGCATGTGATGACTATTATCAAATCCTGCTTCCAACTTTCCGTTTTTGATTAAAGCTCCTCGGGGAGATGTACAAGCTGCCTGGAGAAGCGCAGTGCCACCTCCCAGGCTGCTGCGCGTTGTTTCTCTGCGCAGCTGCAGCCTCCCCGATCCAAGCCAGCTGCGGCTTTGGAATGTGAGCAGGGATGTAACTGCTCTTTCCTACACCTCCGTGGATGTGCCAGCAAGGCTTTTAACTCAGGTAAAAATACTGCATCATCTGAAAATTTCTTTGCTGGTCTTCTCGCTGCTGACTGATCCGCTAGGTTCACAGATTCCCTCTGCTGAGAGATGTCCGACTGGCTGCAAAGTCAAGGAATTTGTTGAATAGCTGCCAAACGGCTGTTATTTGTAACTGTCTCATAAATATGTGCAGTGTTAGATTTTTGAGTAGAGCAAAACAAAAATTAAACAAAGCATAGAAAATAATGTGTTGAAATGATAACATAAATATTCTCTGGAGATGGGAAAATGATCCCTTACTTATTTTAGCATTCAACAGGGTGGGTTTTTTCCCCCAAAACATCTAGAAAATCCACAAACATTATTGCAGGAGCAGACTTTTTCAGTGGAGACCCACGAAAACCCACCAAAACCAGCAGCACGTCTTCATCCTGCAGGCAGGTACAAGTGCCCCCCCCTAAGCTGAGACCCCAGCTCCCTCCCGTGCCTGCACAGCCAGCACCGTATCCAAAGCAGCAAGCAAAGCATCATGCCCCCGGCATTGCACAACCGTTTGCCAAGCCAAGAAGCCGCCTCGCTAGCAGGTGTAATCCCTCACCTGTCAGCCTCTGGGATCCAGCAAAAACACAGAGGATGAGCCAGGCCTTGAACTGCACCTGGGCCATGGCAGCCCTGCCCGGTGGCAGGGGACAGTGCCGGGCGTGAAGCGAGCGCGGTTTGCTCTGGCGTCTTCCCTTGTTGCTTCTGGTCCCAGCAGCCTCTGTTGGAATGGATCCACCTTTCTGTGTTTTGGTTGCGGTCCTGGGAAGGGCTTGTGGTTCAACTTGCTGACCCCAAAGGATCGTATTTTGCATCGTATTTTGGAAACTTGGAAGACTTTGTTGGGAAGTTTTTGGCAGAATTGTTTAAGGTTTTTTTCCAAAGACTGATCTCCCACTGCAATTTATTGTAGGAAGCTATTGGTTGCAAGAAATTTCACTACACATGATTGCCTCTGAAGAAGGGAGGACCTCCTGGTCCCTTCCGCCTCCGCACAGCGCTTCTGTCACATCTCCGTGACACTTCTGCTCAGCTCCTTGGCTTCATTTTCAGTTTTCCTTTCTCCCGAGTTTGAAAATCTGCAAACAATCCTGAAATGTCACAAACGGATAAGGCCGGCAGTCTGCGCAGATTCATGGAACAGCGGTAGCAGCCAAAATACACAAGCAGCCAGGAGAAATGTCACTTGTTCAGTTCTGTATCAAACCTCCCGGAGGGAGAACCCAATATACTGACCTAGCAAACAGCAAGGACCGGAGCCAGCCAGGCTTTAGCACCTCATCGTCCTCTGCTGTGACAAGACTTCTGGGTTATGCTGAGCACAGGCTGCCTTAGACATTGTGAATTACATAGTCAAAACGTCATCTGATTCCCGTCGTGGCAGGGATCTGTTCTCTACATCTCTTTGCACTTTTATTAGGGCCCAGTCCCCAGTCAAGCTGTGCCGTATTTCTACTCTGTATGGCACAGTGTGGTCCTGGGTTCTCCAACAGGTTCTGGGATGCTGGGGTTATACAACTGTGTAATAACGTGTGTAAATAAGTAATAATACCACCGCCTTCAGGTTAAAGGGGGAAAGAAGTCTGCCTAGAAAGGAGAGGAGGTGGAGCTGAAACACCTACCTTGCTCAGCAAGTTCCAGGGTGCCGGTTTGTGGTGAGCCCTGTCACCAGGTACTTTACTGAGGGTAGGGGGGACGTTCCAGGCAGTGTGCGAAGTCGCGTGTCTTCTGAAACTTCCAGGATCAGTAGCTGTACCTACCTGGCAATACGTGGACTCACACCAGCCACAAAGAAAATGGAAGACTCCCAGATTTGTCACGGGAGGAGGGGCCTTCAACATCCAGAGCCATTCTGACCCTCAGTTTGGATCAAAATAAGACCTGTGTTTCTGTCATAGCCTTGGCTACCTTCAAGTCAGGCTACACTTCTTTGAGTTTTCATTATTTTCTGCTGCCTACGCTTTAGTTGCATGACTTTCTTTTGGGACGCCATATCTTTTATTAAACTGTGAATCACGTGCTACTCGAGAGGCAGATGCTGATGCCCCATCCGCATCGTGAGATCGATGTCCCTTCTGTTTTGTGCCAGGATCTCTTACAATCCACAGCATACGCATGACTTCGGAAGTCACGGCGCAAAAACCCCCTGCGTCTCAGGGGCCACGTGCTTTAACATGTGACACAGGAGTCATCCAGGATTTTGGCCAACATCTGCAAAAGCCATATATCATTTTGTCAACAGGAAAATTTCCTAGGAACAGCTTGCAGTTGAGGTGCCTAGAGGAGGGGACCCATGTTGGTGGGAGGGAGAAGAGAGGATGCCCAGAGGCCATGTTTCGGTGACTGATACAGTGGCGGGCAGGGGGACAAGGACCGGTGGTAGATGCTGCCTTGAGCTAGGGAGATTTTGTAGAATTGCCTCGCTATCCCACACAGAAAGGCAACTGCAGGGTGATAAACCCATGCCTTAGATGTCTGTTAAAGCAACAGCTTTACATTACATGGTGCACAGAAACAAGCCCGAGTTCCCGACAGCTGCGCGCAGTCCCCGCGTGTACGACGGCGATGTTAGCCGGTGCAGCCAACGTTGCAAAATCCCTCCTAGAGGAATGTTGTCCTTGCCAGGTATTCACAGCTGAGCGTGCACAGCCCTGCCCCTCCACACTCCCCCTGGTCACGCCGTCTGTTGTAGGAGCAGTTTCCAAAACCTCACGTCAAGCGCCAGGTTTCTGCAGGGGCACCTTGACTGCTTTCATCCTTTCCACCGTGACCTCCTGAAGCAGGACGATGGAAAAGGGGAACAAGATATGAGGGATTAAAACCTGCAGGAGCTGGTTGGATGCTGGTTGGGGCACGAGGTGTGGTTAATACAGCACCAGAAGAGCCTCTTTGAGAGGAAGGTTTCTTTGAGATGGGACTGCAGGGAGATAGGCAGCATCTTCACGAAAGGGAAATTCTGCTTATAGATTTGGAGAAACCTCTTGGTTCGAACATCTCACCCAGAACTTGGGGAGAGCACAGTCTCCAGCCCAGGCCTGTCTCCAGGTGCTCAGGGGAGGAAGACGAGGAGAAGAAGGTGGTTGAGAAAAGAGGGGGAGGAAGAAGGACATACGTGGCTCCCAGGGAAGGGGAAGTTCAGTCACCGGAGGGCAAGAAGGAAGAAAACCTTGAGGGAAGCAGGAGTGAAGCACTGACCACAACCAGACGGGACCTCCACTGTTATACTGGTATTTTCCAGGTACGGTCCTGCTGGTCCTTACAGAAATGCTTTCTTTGTCTTTTTCTTTCAGTTTGTGAGTAGCGTCCACTGGTTGAAGGAGCAATGGGCTCTGTAACAGTGACAGGGAGGGCCCCACCCCACTGCACAAAAGGACACCCACCCCCCCAGGCCCCACACAACTTGGAGATGTCACGGGATGTAGCGTGACTGGAGATCGACTATAGGGCCTATACAGACTCCGTGGCAGGTGGGTACCCTGACGCCATCAATAGCCACATCTTCAGGGAGCAGAGTCTGCTCGCCCGGCTGTAGGGAGAAATGCCAGAGCTCTGGAAAACACCAGCAAAACCTACTCAGTTGGGGAAGCTCAGCGTGGTGACTGTGAGTCATCACCTAAAGTCGATTTGTCCCCACGGTACCAGAAAATCTCTCTTCTGAACAACGCATCTATAATCATAGAATCATAGAATCATTATGGTTGGAAAAGACCTCAAAGATCGTCAAGTCCAACCGTACACCTGATGCCACCATGCCCGCTAAACCCACTAAACCACGTCTTGAAGTGCCTCATCTAAACGTTTTTTGAACACCTCCAGGGATGGTGACTCCACCACCTCCCTGGGGAGCCTGTTCCAATGCTTAACAACTCTAAAAGTGAATAAATTCTTCCTAATGTCGAGCCTGAACCTCTTCTGGCGCAACTTGAGACCGTTTCCTCCTGTCCTATCAAGTCAGTTTGTCCTATAGGTCAGCTACACCTGACTTACAACTTGTCCAACATCCTCCTCCCGTTGGGAAATCCAACCCAGGCAAACGAGCCTTGTGGAGGCTGACAGCATGGACCAGGCAGGGACCAGAGGATTTGGAAGACAGCTTTATGCTTGACCAAGCTGACCACAGCCTTGCCCAGCACAACGCAAGTGCCTACCACCCACAAGGAGCCCGGAGCGAGCAGGCTCCGTAGGCGAGAACGGTCCCCGGAGCTCAGGGGCAGCGGCGGAGGTAGCGTGCACCACACCAGCGGTGCTTTGAGGGGCTCTGTAGCCTCTTGTGCCCTGGGACAATGTGTCTGGGTGAGTAAATTGCACTCTTCATAACCTCCCAGGCTTCTCTAATGAGAAGAGATTTGGGTCCATTAGCAACTCTTCCACATATTAAAGAGCTGCTGGAGGCGATGCCTGTCCCCACAGGGCTGGCTACTTCTCCAGTACACAGAGTCTTCAGCAAACCTTGCACGTTGTCTAACTTGACAGGGCATTGTGTCTGACATTTCTTGATGTGACGTCCATCAAATTCTCCCTCTGCACAAACATTATGTTTAAATGCCAGTTTTCCTTCTGTTCCCGCTACCATCAGTCTTCTGACTTATCGTACTGGGAAACACAGATTTTTTTACGATACACAGGCCATGAGTCTTGGCATGGTGCCTCAAGCAACCTGGGATGGGGGAGGAACAACTCGGGGAGGGGGAAATGTGCTTTATAAAGAATTTTCACAGCAATAGAAGTGGTGCCAGGAACTTTTGTGTCTTGTGCAATAAGCGTCGGCACGCAAAAAGAGCCACTGCAACAGAAAACAGAACCAGCTGTGGAACATGGTGTAGGAAGGACTAAAAGTACATTTCCTATTTAATCAGCTCAATTGATGGCAGATCCAAAGTGGAGCTAAGAACTGTATAAAACCCCAAACTTCTGCTGATTTGTGTTCCCTTCTCTTTCCTCTTCCCCATGAAGAGGTATAACTTTTAAGGTGAGTCGCAAATGCTATTAATTTTAACTAGAGAACACTGTTCTGAGTCACATCCCAAAGACTGCCAGCCACAGCAGCCTGAAACAAATTAAAATACAAAAAAAGAATTTAAGAAGCCCATGCTTAGAAAGCTGGGATGGAAAAAAAACAAACAAACATGAAACCCAATTCTTACCACACACTTCAGCTCTTTATTCTTGAAAACAGATGACATACTAGTAACAATGAGTACTTGTCTGGGGTTTTTTTATTAATTGAATTTATTATTTTCCTATCCCTTCCTCCATCCCATACTCTAATCTCCTCCAACCCCCTTTTTTAATTAGTGCTTTTACCATTTGAAAGCTTACTTAGTGATTCAGGGAATCTCTACAAACAGCTTGTGAATTATTTTATGAAATCTCTTATACAGTAGTTTTCAGATCTTAATGAGGTCAGACAGCTTTCTGATGTAGAACTGCATTATGCATTTTCTGGACTAAGGACGAGGGACATCATTAATTGATGACTGCTGTAATGTAACCCCATTCAAAGAGGTGGTGGGCAGCCTGAAACTACAGTATTTTTCCAGCTTTTTTGGAGAGCGCTCAGATTTTCCACAAGAGCAAAGATAGTGCTAATGTTGTTAGATCATACAGCTCAAAATAATGGGAAGAGTGACAAAAAGACATAGGACTCTTGTTCACGGGACAAGGGAAGGGAGATATTTTTGACTGCAGGAAAAAGCACAATCTGAAGATGCTGGAGCAAGTAAACACTGATTGATTGTGGCGAAAAAGCCAGCATGAGGAAGTGGTACCTGAGAGGTTACCTGCAACTCCTCCTTCTGCTGGGAGAACAGGCACTGACCTAATTCCCAAGGACTCGATGCAGAGATTTCCACAATTGTTTTGGTCTGGATCCAGGTACATCTTGTGTTGTCCTAATAACAACTGTATTAGAACCATTTACAAAAGCTTTGCGTTTGTGCATATTATTACGGTCTTCCCAACACCCATCTTGGAGCTGAGATACTGCTTAAGCTACACAGCTGCTTCAGCACAGTCTCCTAGTGAGTGCTGGGGTTATGATTTATGCCAGCAGAAGCAGTGTACATAAAGCATCTTAGCCACAGAGAATGCCTGGACTCCATTCAAGTTGCAAACCAAAAAGACAAATCCAGTGTCTTACAACTCAAGGCAGCAGATAAACATCTACCAGTTGGATTATCAGGATTGTAAATTACCATCCCTCACCCTGTGCTTTTCATCTAGTTTGAAAACAACATTATTCATGTGACCACAACAGGCAAGAATCTCCTATCAATTTTTATTATTATAAATACTACATTAGAACAGAAAGGATGGCATTGTGCATCTGGCTCCATTCTGCTGCTATTTTGCATCTTCTTTCTTGGCTCCTGCTTCTATTTTCAGAGGTTCTGGAGCGGCACGATAGGCAGGAAATGCCTCCCATGGACTATTCAGATCAAACTTGCGAAATTCCTGAGATAGCTCCACGGGCTCTGCCACTACCCGTTTCACTTCGTCATCATACCGAACCTAGAACAGTGCAAAGGACACAGGCCAGTCATTTCCACACGGTCCCCACAGCATCTCTGCTATTAGCTGTACGCAGTAATGACCCAGACCACCCCTCGGTACAGGCAATTCTACTTCTTATGTCGTGGACAGGCCACAGGCCTCTGCCACAGCTTCGGCTCTCCTCATTATTGAACAAAAGCCCTCCAGATGCCACCAAGACCTCTGGACTCTCCAGGAAAACCCTCCTCTTTGCTACCACATACCTCAGGTGTCCTGACTAACCACCCTGAATTAGGAGTGCCCAGCCTACAGTCCGTATGAAGTCCACATGGAATAACACGCTTAGTTTTGTCATATGACAAAGGAATTTCTCCTGAGTCACTGAAATAAGGTGGCACGTCTACCTGGCAGAGCTGGGGACTACTCTCATGAATCTTTATAATATGACATTTTGTTGGGTTTTAGTTGTGCTTTGTAGCGTAACACTCAGAACACAGGACAAAAAGACAACCAGGGTGAAATGCAGGTGAGTACCAGACACTTCTAACTGGCCTGCTTTATCCTCACTGTGCCAGTCCACATCTCCAAATCACAGCTCAGGAGATGCTGCCTGGTCCTCGCTCGCAGGATTTGCTGTTATTTCTACTTTTCTTAAAACCCTCTGTTGCTTGCAGAGCCTCACTGTTCTCTCCTGAGACTCAACTCAGTCTTAGATCTGCACCAAATATGACTGCTTCTGCAAGGCAGTCATTTGAAACAAGACAGATACCAAATGCATGCATTTTGCTTGTGGTTTGACATACAGAGGTAAATATTTCATAAATGGCAAGAGCCAGTTCAACTAGAGTTTTATAATCTAGGCTTACAAAAACTCAACAAAGTGGAGTTCCAACTGCATTAAGATCAGTTCAGTCCTTTATTCCCCTGAGAATCTCCAGTTTTGCAGTGGAAAGTTTAATCTTCCAGAAGACATGCTAAAAGCAGAAGCACTTTCCCTGCCTGACAAATGTCTTTGGTATACAGCACGTGAAATTTGCTCAACGATTCTGGCCTTAGGCTGCCTTATTACGGATGATACTTTGTGATGACTTCAAATTTCCATGCAGGAGATCTATACAGCTCCTCTGGAATCCAGACAAGTGAAACATCCTTAGTGCCTTTCGGACAAAAGATTATAAAGCAGTCACATCTCTGTACCGAAAGTCAGATAAGAGTATTGGAGAGATTTGACAGCCTTAGACATGAGTATATCTCCTACCTCCACATAACCAGAGAGTGGAAAGTCCTTCCGGAAAGGATGGCCCTCAAACCCATAGTCTGTAAGGATTCGCCTTAGATCAGGGTGGTTGGCAAAGAAAACACCATACATGTCCCAAACCTAAATGAAAGGGAGCCAAGTAAGTTGAATTAGATTAGACAAAAAAAAGACCAACAAACCTTCATGTATTACGTCCATAAAATTTCAGTTATATGCCTGGCTTTGTGCAGTGCCAGTGAAACTGATACAGTAACTCATTCAAAAGCAAATCAAACACCCTTTTATCACCTCCTCTGAAAAGGCAGGCAGGGAAACACTTCTCTCTTTCTTCCTCAGGGCCCTGGGAATGAGTTTAGTGAGGAAAACACAGCCCCTCCCCACAAAGACTCTGCTCCCAGGTACACTGGCACTCACCTCTCTCTCATACCAGTTTGCTGCCTTGTGCACAGACACTGCTGAGTCAACAGGCGTCAGCTCGTCAGTGTATGTCTTCACACGGATCCGACTGTTGAACCGCAGAGACAGGAGATTGTACACAAGCTGAAGCAGAATAAAAGGGGACATTGGTCTTGTATGGCATTTATGGATCTCTCTGCAGTACAGTATTGGCTAAGCAAAGGCACACGAAGACTATTTCAAATATTCCTTATCAGCAGAATCACATTCAGCACTTCAGAGCTGGGCACTAAAAGACACTACTATAACTGAGGCTCCAATAGCATATCACTTTGGTCCTTAGAAGCGTAACAAAAATGACGTGAGATTTAGAAAACAAGACTGATGAAGAAAAGCTGAAGTAGAGAGGGATACTAAATCTTAAAAAAAAAGGGAATACTGAAGAGATGGAGACACTTGAAAACAGTCTTTCAACATTCCGTCACAAAGAAAATGGCTAACAATTACTCTCTGCATCTAGCGGGAGAAAGCTAAGAACAAATACACTTCATTTTCAGCAAAGAAGTTGGATACCAGGGAAAATTTGTGATTATTCTGGCGATGAAGTACTAATAAAAAGGCTGCTTATGAGGATTACTAGAACCTCCAGGGTGGGAAATACTTGCTACAAGTAGACTGAAAAAAAAACCCAGACCTTTGTAAGAAAATTGTGTAGCCTTGTTTGATACTGCCTCTGTGAAGATGGCTGGAAAAGGTGAATTCATTAAAGTCTATATTTCTGTTATTTCTATGAATCTACTACCGTGATTTTTGAAAGAAAAATCCTGAATTAAAAAATCTTCAACTTCTTCAGAGACTGGAGGCCTCCAAGTTAAAAGAAACTCTCTCTACAACTCCCAGGATTTTTGCCTAATCACAAGTTATGTTACTAAAAGCCAAAGCTGTTATTAGCAAAGCAAGAAGGAGTTATATCTGAAAACAACCGACAACTGATTAGCTAATATAGAAAAGGCAAACCTGCCACCCCTCGCTTCCTGAGCGGCTGTTGGTAAGTGATTTAATACCACAAGATAAACCAAAGCAGGAAAATAAATCAGCTACTTTTTATTATCCTTGTTACTTGTTGGGAACTAAAAATCTACCAATTCACTTCTCTCGTCCAAAAGAGAGTCTGCCCAGATCAGACAAGGGAAGACAGACGGCTCTTCGTCCATAAGGCTGCCTACGCCACAGTCAGCCTCCTACAGCGTATGAGCCCCCGGTATTTTCTACTACTGTCTTTTACAGATCTTCCTAAGTTAATCCACAGTAACGTCTTTGCAACAATACTGTGAGCAAAGCTTTCTAGTAGGTGAGAAGACAAAATGCTGCGTCCGTGTTTCCCCAAAGATGTATCTTTTCTTCTTCTGTTTGCAGCTGCAATTTTTCTGCAGCTGAAAAGCTATATGGTGAGATATTCAAAAGCATCTGTGGGAACCAAATCTCCAATGTTCACTGAAAGTCAGTGAAAGTTCAGTGCCCGAAATCTTCTGAGAGCTTTCTGAAAATCTGCCGCATCACCTGTTTGGTCCCAACTTTCAGGGAATGTTTTTAAAACAATTAAATAGTGTTTTGTTTTGGTTTTTTAAAAGAGGAAAATTGTTAAGAAGATTGATGGGATTTAAAGCAAAACATGATCAGTTGAGCCAACAGCAGCTGACAGGCCTAAGTAGAAGAAGGAAGAGCACCAGTTCACATCTGGCCAGAAAGAAGCCCCTGGACACTTGGGTAAAACCAAAACAGAAAAGAAAAAAAGAAAAAAGAAACCAAACAAACAAATGAGAGAGAAACTTTCAGCAAAGCACAAAAGGAAAGCCAGACTAAGAACGCATGCAGTATCAGTTCTGCTACTGCTTCCATGATCAACAGATTAAATGAAACCCAGCATTTCAGAGTGGATTTTTTTCTCACTGTCAGAAAGCAAAAAACGTGGTCAGAGCTGCAAGAGCACCCACAGCCATCAGCACTTGTGAAACTCTCCAAGTCCTGCACCTAGGAGCAGTTCCTACCTCAAAGCGGTATTGCCGAGATGGGACATCAACAGCAGTCAGGTCAGCCAAGGATTTGAACTGGGCATTAGTGTGATCTCGAAGGAAGGTCAGAACTGGAATGATCCCATCTGGATGGATCAAAAGTTCCAGCTCATTGAAACAGGTCACCTGATGAAAACAGCGGAAAGGGCGTGAGTACAAACACCAGCAGGACCGAACATTACACTAAATCCAGCAGAACACTCAAACAGAGTATATGGTACAGCAGACGCATAATGACATCAGATAAATGGAGCTTAATGATAGTGCTAACTTTCACGTAATTCTGACAATCTTTCTTCCCCAGTACAACTCCTGAAAACAGCTAAGAAACAAGTAGTGTGTTCACTGGGTCCTGTCCCTCCCACAAGAACAAGTTCTCAAACAGCACCTACCTGTACTTGCTGGATATACTTGGGCAGAATCTCAGCCACGTACTCCCCAAAAGCACATAGCTGCTTCTGTTCTACTTCATTTTTCGGTCTGACAGTAGCTAAAGAGAAAAATAAAATTGCCAAGATTATGGCGGGGAATACAGAAAGCTACAGAAAGAAGAGCAGCAACTCCCATCCCTGACTTAAAAATCCCTTTAACCAGCCTAGCTGTCTCTCAGTAGCTCTGGCAGAAGCCAGGCAGCTTCAAGTTCAAGGAACCCGCACTGTTTACCTATGGTAAAACCGAAGCTAAACACAACATATAGGTGTAGTGGATATATAGGATGCTGTAACAGAGACTAGCCTATAGCTCCATACATGTGTTCTGGTACACGGAACATGGAACTCGTGGCTTTGGTAAGGAAGGAAGTTTGTGTCCGTGCTAGACAGTAATTTTTTCTGTGCCCTGTAAATACAGCAGGAGGAACAGTCCAACAAGATGACGGAGAAGCAAATAACAGGATGAAAAAGAGAGAGGCAGAGATGACAGAACAACGTGAGCTTAGATACCGCTCGTGACATCCAGCCTGGGACCAGAAAGGATCTTTTTTTTCTAGGTAAACTAATCCTGGTTGCGTTTGATGTGCCAGCAGCTAAGCAGCCTCACCGTACCCAACACACCCCAGGATCTCACGTTGCTTTTTTTCTCCGTTACGATTACAAATACTCCTCAAGGTGCCGGGGTACGAGGGGCTACGAAGCTGCTCCCCAGGCACACCTCTGCACACAACAGCCCGCCAGGCTCCCCAGGAAGGCCGCAGCCGGGATCCGGAGCAAGCCCGGTTACCAACGCCGCC